CGGGGGTTTACTGTTCTCCAGATCCTAGGTTTCCTGAACAGGGATATGTTGGAGTTGTTCAATGCGATACACAACAAGGAAAAAAAGTTTTAAATGTATGTTGCAAGTAGCTGTAAATCCTGACAGTGTCGAATTTACTTCTGACAAGAACATATGGGTGGTACCGAATCCTGAAGATATTCGACCCTATGGTATACTTATCAAAGAGGCTTAATTGAATATTAGTATCAATTTTACATTTTTCTATTGTGAACTCTTTTCTTTGTGCCTCTCCGAAGAAATATTTACGAGTTTGCGACTATTACATAAAAAGGACGTTCAGAAAATTTAGATACAGCTGAATAAACAAATTTCTTTTTAGTTATTATAGCCTCTACAGATGATAATCAAGTTTGATATAGCTTCTATAACAACAAAACAGAACTGAGTTCAATCACTTTTCTGCATATGAAATGGATGGTATTGGTAGAACTTCAACGATACATTAATGAATTTTGAAGTACGCCATAAAGGATGGTTTCAGATCTACAAATTATTTGCAGTATTTATTCAGTTCCTAGATAAAATTAAATACCTGCGAAATTTCACTTATCTTAGTTTTATCCTAAACAAGCAATCAGTAACAACTCATATCAATTGATCTTTAATTTTCCATCTACTGTTCTCGTGACAAGATTCATGTGTTTAGATCAACCGGAAAGAAGTTTAGGTGGGTGATGCCGAATATTATTCACAGCTAGGCAAAGCTTTTTTAGAACTCTTTTCTCAAGATAAGAACTATTGCTATCTTTCTTATTTCTTCCTCGAAAAATACTTACTTCTCTTTTATTCTATGATTGATCATACTCACATTTTTGAAAACCGTTATCTCCAACTTTAATCGATCTTAATTGAATTGTAGGAAATCATCATTTTAACCATTGTTTAGTAATAAGAAATAGAATTATTTAGAATAAAAAAAGCTCACTTTAAGTTTCAACTACCTTACTCGATCAACACAGCGAGTGTAGAGCAAGAAATTATTTTAATAAACTGCTTTCTTAATTGGCAATAGTTACGAATACGTAACCGTGCCAATACATATTCTTATGAAACTGAAATGTGAAATTCACATAAGAATATGGCATTAGCCAAAACGAACCAAAAAAAATATACATAAAAAGAAATACAGTCAAAATGAACAAAAATTAGTGCATTTCATACGAAAGAAAAAGTACTATACTCTAAATGAGCTCTTTCCGCTAGACGATTAGAAGATGAAAATACAAAAGAATATAAAAGCTATATTTGTACCAAATTAGTTTTAATAGTCGTTCATAAAAGTATCTGTCAGATCGCCTGTCTCCATGGGCGTAGTAAAGAAATGTGTCGAAATATATGGCTCAATCTTGAATGACGGACACCAATTGATTTAAATGAAAACAATAGGTTAAGAAACATTGTGACGAAATATTTACAACCTCTTTTGTTCGTTTTCTCATGCTGATCAACAATCGGCGAATTTTAGTTTAGATTTCACTCGACAATTTTTCTATTTGATTTCTATTTACTTCTTTTTTTTAAATTCAATAGAAGACAGGCCATGAAACAGCTTTTTTTTTCTTTCTTTCGTTCTATTGTTGTCATGATGATTGTAGCAGTGCAACCTTAATGTTTTCTCGACTATTTCTTTTTTGTAACCCAGATTGTAATCACAGTTATTTTTTTTCTGCTCATGATGAAGCCGCATGCCGATGAATTGGAATGAAGAGTCAGCTGGAAAATAAAACTCTGTGCAATGCTTGTCTGTAGAATTTTATTTTCTTGATTTTTCACGAGCAGTCATCCTATTCCGCGATTTTGCACATTGCGGATTCGATTCCGTCCCCCAAAATCAGTTCCATCCGATTCCGTGTAATTCCGCTTCGATCTAATTCGCAGAATTCCGTTCGGGAATCGCTCACTTATTTTAGATATTTATCTTTTACTACACAAGGCAAGCTGAGGGTGAGGATGAGAAGAAGTTCCGGAATCGGACGGAATCACTCGGAATTGATCGAAATTCCGTCTGATTCAATCTAATCCCGCTTTGATCTAATTCTCGGAATTCCGTTGGGAAATCGCTCGCTGACTTCAGATATTTATCTTTAACTATGCAAGGCACGCTGAGAGTGGGGATAAGACGGAATTTCGGAATCGGTCGGAATTCTGACAATTCCGAAAATTGAGGAAACTCGATCGTTGTCGAATAAGCCGAGTTAGTTTGATGATGTCGGAATTTCTGAATCGGATAGAACTTATTTTGGGGGGCGGAATTGATTCCGCAATGTACAACATCGCGGAATAGGATGTATTCTCTTTTTCACATTACTGTTCATGTCTGATATGTTTGAGATGGAAAAAAATAACCAGTAAGTGATCCAAAATGACACTTATCAATAATTTTTTAGTAATATGTATTCATTCATTAAGAAAAAAAGAAATAAAACTTCTTTTGCATTACTGCAATAGATCTTTGTGTGTTTTTTCACATCTGAATCTATTAAAATGACAAACAGCCATCTCATTGTAGAATTTATATTGATTATGACTTCGTACTATTCCAATTCGACACTTGAAGATCAAATCGATCAATTTCTATGTCATGAAAATAATTTATCAATACAATTAAATAGTCAAAAGTTAAATGATCAAGACATGGAAGTTATTGTTAAACATGCGATTCAAAAGAGACAATGCACTCTTCTCGACTTACGGGACAACGAAATTACGTCGGAAGGCATGTCAATTCTAGCTTCGGCATTGAACGACAATTCAAAATTGCATACATTATATCTATATGGTAATCGTTTATTTGATGAGGGTATATATTCTCTTGCACAGATACTCACATCAAACAATCAAACTCTCAAAATACTTGGCCTTAATTTGATTGGTCTTACAGATGTTGGTGCAGAGGATCTTGGTGTGATGCTTCAGAAAAATCGTACATTAACTCATTTACAATTGGAAGGCAATGGAATAGGCGATCGAGGAATGATATACTTAACTGATGCTCTAACAAAATATAATACAACTTTGGAACAATTGGAGATGGCCGAAAATAAGTTCGTGAGTGATGTGAGTATCGATTTACTAGTTGAAATAATCAAGCATAACCGATCGTTGAAAGTCCTCGATATAAGATTTTGTAATATATCTGATTCGGGGAAGGTCAAACTTCAAGAAGCACTCGAAACAAATAAAGACTTGAAACTTATTCTGTAAACCAACAATCATTGAAAAATGTCTTATGTTTAGAAAGAGACAATTGATTTATTTATTTGTTTGTTATTCTATTCAAATCATAATTATTCAATTAATTATGTGGGTGTGATTGTCACCTGTAAGTCAGAGTTCGTGTTGAATTTTTCTTAATCGACAACTGATCTACTGAAGAAACACTTTTTTATTGCTAACTGAGATGGTTGGTCAAAAAATTAAATCAATATCAACCCACAGGATTAATTTGAGTTATAACTATGCTAGATGAAATGACAACAATGTATTGTGTGGATCAGTGAGGTGTACAAGAAGTGAAAAGAATCGTGAAATTTATTTTCAGAATCATTTCAAGCACGAAGAAGACCCTATTGACTTTGGCTTTTTGAATTATCCGGTACGTAGGGTGTGAGTGTGGGTGTGGGATGTGAGTATGGGTGTGGATATGGGTATGGGTGTGGATGGGATGTGGGTGTGGATGTGTGTGGATCTATTCTTATTCCCCACCGACCCCCACCAAGCCACATGCACATTCATCCACACCTACACCCACACCCACCCACACCCCATCTTAACTTGTTATTTCATCCTACACATAATCATGTCATATTTTCTGTTTAACCAATACACAACACCAATAATCAATAAGAAAGTCATGAACAGACCACCTGACAGTTTATACAGTGAAAAGTAATTCATGTTTTGATTGAAAATTGAGAAATACGAATGGAATTGGCAAAAACATCTGCAAAAATCGTTGAAATGTCGTATTCTTATACCACCATTTTTAGTCCCACTGGAATCTACTTGTAATTACACACACTCAGCCAAAACGTGTTCAATCGTTTGAATAGTCTTTTCTACGTGATTCGAGATTCAATGAGAAAAACAAAAATGTTCTTTGGATTTATTGAATCTACAAAGAGGAAAAAAGAGAAATCCAGTTAATAACAAAAATCTTGTTCATATCTCAATCATACGTATTATTTTGATTTGTAATCGTTTGATCTGAATGGATGATTGTCGATAAAGGCAATAAAATGTAGATGATTTTGATTAAGCATTTAGTAATTCTAAAATGTCTCACGTAGATTATCTTCTATGAGAGTGTTGGGACGAAGGTGGATGTGAGAGAAGAGATACCCATACCCTACACTCACACCCCACCCATACTCTCTCCAACACTCGCATCCCCACCCTCATCCATAGCCACACCCTAAAACTAAAACTTGTCGATCTAGGAAAGTGCGATGAGTTGTTCGGCTTTTTGATTTCGTTTTTGACTGAAGATATTAACCCTTTGGGGACGGGTTTTTTTTTCTGTATATTTCGCCATAAATCATTCAACGTTTCTATTTTCTAAAAGAACTTATAATCTATTACTGGATATCTGAATAAAATAACCTAATTACAATCCAAATTATACCAAAAAACTCTCTGATAAATGCTTTCACAAAAACTAATCTCATATAGGAATCTGCGTGTTTTGAGATGCTAGAGAATCGCCATGGCCCCTTAAGGGGCCAACCGTCCCCAAAGGGTTAAAATGAACAATTGCATAGTGGCTGACTGCTGATTCTCCCAAGTCGTCTCGATTTATGAAAAGATGAATAAATGTTCTTAAGTTGACTGACTAAGTATAAATTTATTAATGCTGTCATTAGGTCTTTCTACTGAGAATCGAATGATGTCATGTTTTTTTATTATTAAAACACATTCAATAGAAGATATTCTTGAATAAAAAAACTATAAAAATCTTATTACGGTGCTGTATAAGTAATTTTTAAGTATGGCAAGGCTTGACCATATCGATAGACGATGTATTCATGGTATTGAAATCCAGTACCATGAACAGAATGATGATTTAGTGGTGCTACACTAATTGAATTGTTTGGTTGCGTTTGTACGGATTCAACACCCAATAAAACTTTGTTGTAAAAAATAACGCGACGCTGTGTGGTTGGATCGGGTCGTGCAAACAAATTCGATTTTCGAGGATCATCGGCAAAGTATGCGCCACGTCCTAAATATTTATGGATTTGAATCTAGATTTGCATGCGCCTAGAATATTTCAATGAAATTATACACATACTCCATGCTCCAGATGGAGAAAAGTATCGATCATCAAAACCTCTGTCAATGATTCCTTGAATTGCTTCACCACTAGTACCATGAAATAATTCTCGTTCTCTAGGATCATTGCCTGGACATTATTTTGCTATGGTTCGTTTCATATATTCATACAACGCTTCAATATTCGGATTTTTTATTTGTTCAATTGATATCACTTGTGCTTGAGGTATTTTTTTCATCTCAGTAACGAGATTTTGATAGAGTAATGTGGTCGATGGATAAGGTACGAGAACGGCATTATAAGTTGATGGGGGATCTGGAATAAACGAGAACGGCGTACCAATTTGTGTCCATCCTCTTGATTTCATCTTCTCAATTCTTTCAGCCACTGTTCCCGACGTATTTGGTCCGTTTTCACCATCAACTGGTCGTAAAACTTGAAAATTTTTATTACGAATATTTTCAACAATCGTTTCAAGTTGAATTGAATATGATCCACCTGTGATATCGACACGCATGCCCAAATCTTTTGTATATCCTCGTTCTAATGATAAATCACTAACATCAAAATCAATACGATCATGTGCTAAAGCAATATGTGGTTCGATTAAATCCATTGTGAATGGACCGGTCTTTGTATTTTCATCTATCAAGAGTACATAACGCCAGTCTTGTCGCCATGGTGTTGCCATAATTCCATAACGATGTAATGCGTCTAGAAAAGTTTCAACATCGAAAATTTTTGATTGTGCATAACGATATAACGTGGGTAACATTTTCAACAGTAGATACGCTTGAGGAAACGTAAGTCAACTATCATTAATATCGTTCTTTAGAATAATTTGCTCTTTATTATATTCAACGAGTAAATTTCGACTCAGTCACTCTTATAAAAACCATTCAAAGAAGAACTATCTTTGATAAAAATACCAATGAAGAGCCAACAAAACTGAGACCCACTGCCATGTTTTATAGATCTTCAACTGAAATTTATGTTACAAAAAAACAAATAACGTCAATGTAATAATATCCACAGGATGTGAATGTAGATCACTTTTATCGGCTTCGCAGCAACATTCATACGCATTCGTACTCTGATTTATTTCTACAATTTATCTGCTTTTATTTTAGTCCCAGAGCCGTCGCAGAGATTTGGACACGAGTAGGCAAACACAATTTGCGCTCAAACGAGTTTCTGTGTTGAAATGAGTCATAGCAAAGGATTTAGTCATTGAACTCATTCATGTATGTCCACACTCATGTATTCTTTAAGTTTCCGTTACTTTATGCTAGGCCTAATAATCTAAAAAATCAAATATAAATACTTGATCGGTGACGCTAGTGTGTGCGAATTTTGTTCTGTATGCCTTCAACAGGTTGCGCCTTTTATGTGTCGTTGGCAAAGTTACAAGATTTTTTCCATCTTACACCTGTAGAAAAGTCTTTCTTATCTCTACCTTTTTTCCTTACCATACTTTGTATGAAATTTATTACCAAATAAACATATGAAGTAAGTGCTTTCTTTCAGTGTGATCTGCATATTACACTGCAACAAAACTATTATGTCAAACCATCAGTTGGTAAATAAAGGATTTGACTGAAGATACAACAGTAGTGTTTCCGATTGTTAATCCTTAGCCGAACTCTTTCTTTTTATCGAAGTCGCAGTTCCTCATTTATTATAGTTATGCGATCAAAGACAACATAAGTGATAAATATATGAACCACTAATCATCAAAGTGTTCATCGAATTTTACGATATGCGATATTGTTATCAATCACTTATTGTGAAAGGTTTTCAATTCTCTTTCGATTGTCCTTTTCATTTTATCCGACTCTATGATAAAATATTCTTGTATGCATATTTTTGCTTTTTATTCCACAATCATCACTCACCATCCTTTTCTTATTCTTTGTATTCTTTCTATTTATTACGTATTTAATTTTATGCTGTACTGTGCACTTTCTTCGTGACATAATAAAAGCAAATATTAGCAAAATAAAGAACTTGATTCATGCTGTTATCAGTCTTATGTTGGAAGAAGCTTTAGAGGCAGAAAAGAAAACAGAGTACTGTTTTCATTTATGTTTCACTTTTGCTATTTGCTTTGAAATATGATTAATGAATTTCCAATACATCGCTTTGTCAATGCTGGCAAGGAAGCGTGCAAAGTGTTAGTATGAATCGAAGGATATGAGCAGAAAAAATTCTTGCCCTTCGTTAACGTTGTTGAATATATAAAAATTTTATTACATAATATAGACACTATGGTATACGCAGCTGTGCAGAATTCCAGAGAGCCATGCCATGGTTTCACAGGTAATGAATTAGTCGGGGTGTGAGTGTGGGTATAATTCATCACTTCGTGAGAAAGTGGGTGTGGGTGTGAGCGCGTTTCAAGAGGAGACTCACACCCATCTCCACACATATATATCTATACCCACACTCATCCACACTCTCGTGTGTAATACAACATGGAATTGAAAAGCTGAATATAGTTACTAGTCATATTAAACTGATAAAATGAATAAAGTTTCCATTTTACAAACGTCTTACTTGTAGCGCATCTAGCAAGGAAATTTGAATCACAACCTTAAAAATCCATGAAAACAATCTCTGAAAGAAAGTCTGTTGATACAATTCAGTCAAATGCTGATTTATTTCTAATATAGAAAATTTAACATCAGTTCATATATATGTGTCGAACATATTCATTGAAGGACATAAAGGTGAAAAAGCGGACATGACGAGTTTTGTTTCATAAATAGACGCAACAGACGAAGATATATGAGTGTTTCAACGACAATAAAATAACGTCGTTAGTGGAAAAGGAAGAGAGAGCAGCTATATGAATACGAACAAGAAAAATATATTCAACAAATATATTTAATGTATCATGTGCTTGGCTGGTTATTAGACGAAATGAATTGATCTTTCAATTTTCCGTTTGATTTATGTGATAAGAAAATGATCAGTCAAATAATGGTTGTCCTTAGTTTGTAACTCTGATTATCGTGATGTCTAATTCGATCCACGCCGAGAAAATTACATGAAATCTTATTTTTAATTTAATCTATTTTGTCGCACATGAGTTTATGCTATTACAGTTTAATGACACCTTCAAATGAAGAGTTTTTTTATTCTTTTATTTTATGAACTTCACTTTTTTTGTCCTAATCGAGATAAAAAAATTAATTTGTTTTTAATGAATACAAATTGCATCTCGAAAGACAAGGTAAAAAAACACATCGCTAAAATTAAAACGATATTAAAAAAATATTGTCCTTAAGCACTGCCTACCACCACCAGCAACGTTTCCAGCACCAGCTTGATTAGTGTTATTTAGAACCTAAATATAAATAGATCATATTGGATAGTTAGATTTTACTTAATGCACTTACGAAGCTTCACGAGTTTTTGCTGATCCTAATTCAATAGATTGACTTTAGCATCAATAAATGCTATTTCGGCACGTAACGTTTGTATAGTTAAATAATTTCTCTGAATATCAACATATTTTTGGTGGGTGGGTATGGGGGTGGGTGTGCATGTTCTGTTCATTTACACCGACACTCATGCACACCCACATCTACCCATACTTCATCCACACTCACACTCCACCCACACCACACCCGCATTCCCATTCCCGGTTCTGCGTTCTCATATCCGTAATGCTTTCAGAGTTTCTATTGCTATTTAGTTTTTCGTGTTTGAGAAGTCAGAGTTTGTGAGTTCAGCAGTTGGGCCGCTTATGAGGCTGCACTCTGACAAGTTTTATTATTACTGGTAAGCATGAGAAAGCATTCTTTCATGGTCAATACTTCACACCTTGATTGCCACTCATTAGCATGGCAGAATATCAAATTAATTGATGATGAAGATGGTGGACATGAGAGATGAATTTATCTTCGATTTCACAACGGACTGATTAGTTTGTTACGGGCTATATGGTTTAATTGAGGTTTTTGTGCGAATAGTTCTTCACTATGTTGAAAAACGTTCGGTAAAACTTTTTATATCTCTATATGACTCTGACGAATAATGAAGATTGTCGATAAAACTAGGAAAGATTTTTAAATTAAAAAAACAGCAAAAAATCAATACACTAGCTAAATATATTGAAGTGGAATGAAGTCTTTTGATTTCGTCCGAAAATAGCCTATTTTTTTCCACTTCTTTTTTGTTTACTGGATCTTTTTCGATTTTCTGTTACTGTTTCCATGAACCAGGTTTCTGCTATTTTTGTCATGGCTCGAATCATCTCCTTGGCGTTTATGTTCGATACGTTCATAGTGTCTTTTTCTTCTTTGCAAATATCTTCGCCTAACCATCTGAGAAAGATGTTCAAATTTTTCATTTCTATTGACACACTCTGTTCACGCATGTAGTCAAGAGCTTGGAGCATTCGATTTTTAGTGCATGCATATTTAATGAATTCGTCGACATTGGCAAACTGTGTGACTTCGATAGAAACTATTGCTTTAGCTTGAGTGACCAAATGCTCTCGACCTTTAACTTTGAAAGTAAGATCACCTCCAGTATTAGTCCATTCAGTCCATACTACACCTTCACCAATGCCTACTCGATTAAAATAAGCACCTACAGGACATTGGCGTTCGACTTCCTCAGTAATTTTTGTCAGTGCATCCTGTGAAAGTTTTGGTTGATTAAAGTTGATTTCAATTGTGTAAGTTGGAAAATCGTAAATATTATAAATAGAATGTTCATGCCATTTTATATTTGCCCATTCTTTTGGGTCAAGCCAAAAAGTTCTTGAATGTGTCTCTTGTTGCTCTTCATTGTTTATATTGGCATTTGTTCTTTTTTTTGTTAATTGATTGACGATTCTCACTTTAAAGATAACAAACATAGTTGGAAGACCACAAAGAGCTACATTTTTTTGAATATTTCCACCGCACCATTCACCAAAAATGACGATTCTATCACCACGTTGATAATGTTCACGAATTGTTGGACAATGAGGAAGAACATAAACATTGAAAAATTCATCTGCGAAAGGGAAAATCTGTTCAGTGAAACCGGCATGATCTTTATCAGGTGTGATCACACAATTTCGTGATTGACACCAGTAGCCGAAACCTTTTAAGTAGCCAATAGCAGCATTGGTACCATGTAATTTAACAGTACCAATGAAATTCAATATGGGTAATTGTTTATTATAACCATCAGAGGAGAGACATACATAATGTTTTGAATCAGTAATAGCCTGTCGAAAATATGTTATTTGGGGGTAGAAAACCAAGGTAGCCATCGAAAAGAAAAAGAATGAATGTCGAATAGTAATTGAGTAAGATTAATTGAATGTCTGCATTGTGCATTTTATACGTATTGTCGCTTCGATTATGCAATAACATGAGTCACTCTTGGAAGGTTTTTCAACTAGTGACGACAAAAATTGTGAAATAATCTCTCGCATTTATTGAGTGACATGAGTCACATGCGAATTACCAAAGATAGGAAGAAAGTTTTCGGCACACTGACAAGCCAACGAATTTGATCGATATGTTGTGTTGTCTTTGTTTATAAAAATTGTGTTACTAGATTTTTTTTCTAATACAGATTTGTTTGTAAACAAATATTTGCAAGCTCTTTTTATCGCGTCATCTATTTTCGACGTCTTTAAAATGTAATGTGACTATATTCAAAGTTTGACATCATTCTTTGAGCTCTGTAATACTGACAAGATACATCAGAATGTCATTATAGACATGGATGATGAAGAGGTTCTTCAGCTCATCCACATACACATCTAAATCCTCACTGACATTTTTCAATCCTGTATGAAAAGTCATAGGATCTTGAGTGTCTGAGCCGAAAAGCTCTAAGTACTATTCTTGCGAAATTAAAATGTGAAAAACGATGTAGCTATTGTTGCCAATCACAGGAAGATTGGTTTTTTTGTTTGTATATCTATATTGGAACACATTTCCTTATCTTTCTTTTATTTAATCCTCCAGAAATATAATAAGGAAACACACATATATGCTATCAAGAGTGTGGGTGTGAGTTTGAATATTCTGTTTGTCCACATCCACACCCACACTCTTAAAGTTGCATCATGTTCCTTTATCCATGTATGGGTTCATGCACATAAATAATACACAATTATACTTAAAGAGCTTATTAAACAACTTCATTAAGCAAAATTTACTGATTAATGTTCATAAATCAATACTAAAAAAATCAAGCGCCAGCCACAATTTTATTAGGGTATTACTATTAATTGATCTTTTCAATATGAATCTATGACTTACATCATTAGAATTAAATTCTTGTGATTCAATTTTGATATACCTCACGACGTAATTGTCATTTGATGTTTAACTTTATATCCAAGCCCCCTATCCAGTTTTTACCAAAAGTTTTTATTCAAATTTTTAGCTTTGTTGCGAAAAACCTTTTGATTTTATTTTTTCATTTTATCTTTTAATTTAAAAAGAATTTTCCTGGTTTTTTTTCCGCTTGTATTTGTAATACAGAGCCCTGATGAGTGTTTCAATGTATTAATAACTAACGCGAAACGCGTCGGCGAAATTAACTCTGCATATCTTTTTAATAATTTTTATCAAACCACATATATTTATTATTGTTCGATTTTAATTCGATTTTCGACTAGGTCGATTGCTGAAAAGCGTGCGTTGAGAGCAGCAGATTGATTTATATGAAAGAGATATAGATCGGTTTGTTTTCAATCGATTTAACTACACTCGTAGACACGCTCACATTCTCAAGTATACTAGTTGAATCTTCGACGTTATTAAAAGAACTTGGCACTGAGAATTCAGCAGTGATAAACTCAACATCAAGCATTGTGAGTGTGAGTATGAATTAGGGGTGCACCAGTGCCAGTAACTGGGTCCCAGTCGGACTGGGTACCCAGTCCGACTGGGCACCCAGTCGGGCTGGACACCCAGTCGGACCGGGTACCCAGTCGGACTGGGTATCCAGTCGGACTGGATATCCAGTCCGACTGGATACCCAGTCGAACTGGACACCCAGTCCGACTGGGTACTTGGTCATTTGATGTTTATTCCGCAAATCGAACAGTACCTTCCTCTTTTCTAATATACTGGAATGCATTGACTCTCAGGCTGATAAAATAATGATATAAGCAATAATATTGAATTGATTGACTATTCTTATATTTCTATGTGCCAATCGTTATAACGTAAAATATTATTAATATATTTCAGCAGTATTAGTAATTAAGTTTTACGGCGAGGTTTTTGCAGTGCCTTTCCCACTCCATTACAGACCATTGCGACCAGATATCCATCATTATAGACACTTTCCATTACAGACTTTCCTACTTAGACTATATGATAATTATTTACAACGACATTATTTGTGATTGTATTCAGTTCTTATAATAATGAAAGTTTTAAATTTAAAAAATTAGGACAATGAAAAGTCACGAATAAGTAACAATAATAAAGGTGCAAAACAAGACGCCTGTTTCAAAGAAAAAAAATTCTTCTTAAGATCAAGAAAAAAAAGGATCTTTCCTGGCAATCGAGAATCAGGGAGAAAAAGGATCGCCCTACAGAGTTTTTACACTCTATATTTTGTATTGATGTAATGAAATCAAACAAGATATGTGAGTTCCACATTTGAGCCCCAAATGAGGCTGCCCTGACAAGCTCTTTTTGATTTGAAATGATTTACCTCCAATGTATACAAGATATTCTAAACATTCTTGTAGGAACTATTAACAAAATAAAAATATAATTTGAAATTCAAAATACGAAACCGAATCATTCATGACTAAAATTTCTGATTTAGTACTATTTTGATCGATTACAAGCTTTCACTTAATACCTGAGTCAATCGTATTCGTTTTGATGCTTCTTAAAATGAATCCGACTTTTTCTATTTTTTATTTCAGTATCGATCTTACAAGAAACATTTTTCTAAAACAATCCATTATAGAAATTCATTATCTAGAAGAGTTATCTATAGAAAAGAAAATAGTTCAACAGGTGATAATAAACGAAAACTATGCTTCAATAGATAGCTCATAAAAGTTTAATGAAGACATATGAAATTTATTTATAGTAAATCCTCCTCCCCCACAATATAAGACTCAGGGTCTTCTATTATGTTAAAGCGGAAAAATTTTATAGGGAAGTCTTGTATTATGACTCTCGGATTTTTGCGAAACTCGCGAGAATTTTCGAAGAATTTAGTAAATGCAAGTTTAAGTTCAGGATTTACGGCTTCTCAGTTCCTATTATAGTAACCAGATGCTGGGAAAAACATCACGATATCTTCCTACAGCAACAAACAATAGGGAGTAATTAATATCAGTGGCTACATTATTTTAAAATTCTGTAATTTCTAGTTTCTCTTCTAAATATTATGTTTTTAAGCTTTGTATAGCCCACATATATTTCCGAAGAAACTAATAGTGACCGTAAGTTTGAGTCAAGGTTTTTCAGCTTGTTCCCTCTTCCTCATTACATGTCGTATCAATCACTTATATTTAAAAGGTTGTGGAAATTTCTAGAATCTTTTGCTTTTCAATACTTCGAATATTTTTATGAGTATTTGCAAAAAGCTAGCCTCCTTTTTTTGCGCAGATAAAAGTTTATACGATTCATGCGAAAGGTTATCTTTTGTGATTTTTCATAATGGTAGTATAAGTTACATAAAAGCGTGATCAAACTACTTTCTAACTTTTAGAAATATTTATTTTGTGTCTTACTCAGTACAATAGTATGCATACAAGATTGTTAGGATCTGACGAAGATACAACCAATGTCTATACTAAGCGTATTTAACCATTAAATTAAACTTTGCATCGAATAATACGAAATAATGATAATCTCGATTAACAGAAGAATAATACAGCGAATAGCAACAAGAAAAAAAGCACGCATTAAAAAAAAATGTTTGAAATGTACGAATAGAAACTGTTATAAATTAATCATTTTGATCAATGTTTCTTTAGAATCTTAACATTCTGCGTCGATTGTATTAATATTATAAATATATTCAGGAAATCTGATAAATAGAGCGAAGGAAGAGGGAGTAAATCAAAATGAAATAGTTTCGTTGGGATAAAGTTTTAGAGCGTATGCTTTAACTCAAACGATAGAAATAGTTGTAACCTATCCATTTATTTGATATCTTTTGAAAATAAACTTTTCCACCCGTTTTTGAGAATATAATATAAATCTGTAGCAGCCTGAGTCTCATGAGTACTACACTTCGGCTCCACAGCGGCTACACTGATAGTTTTTGTAACTAAAAAGGTACTCTGAGAGAACCGAAGCGATTTTGAAAATTGGAGAAAGGATTTTCACGACTTTCGAATCTTAAATGTAGATTTGAACTCATCAATTTGAAAATTTTCAACTGAGAATCCCAGGAATAGACACGTTTCGGGATAAAAAGCTAATGAAAATCTTCAGTTCTCAAAAACAAAATCTTAAATAAATGGGGAAGGGGTTTTTATTATGCGGAACACAAATTTTTTCCCAAAGGGGTCTTCTATTATGAGGAGATCTTGTAATATTGG